GTTTGTTATCGATTCGAAAGAAAACTCCTTAACATATTTAGAAGGCGATGTAACTTACACGTGGGTGATGATGTTGATTTCCCGCAGTTTGTTATAGATTACTTATCCTTTGGCCCCAAGCATCCGGTTTTGGATAATTTTAACAAACTGCATTTTTTGGCGGATGCTGACAAACTCCTTTACTATCTGAAGTCCGAATGTGCTAACAGCGACGTGTTGAACGAGGTGAACGCGTTTTCTTTCTGGTACACGAAGAAGATGAAAAAACAACGCGAGGACACCACTTCGATCAGAGTCAACAAACTTTTGAGAAAAATGTGTGTGAAAGCCGTTCCTTTCGATAAAGGACAGGGCTTCTGTCTCATGAGTAACGATGACTATGATTCAAAGTTGAAACAAGTACTAGCATGCCAACAGTTCGAGAAGGTTACTGCTAGCTCCTCCAAGAACCCAGTGTACAAAATCGAGTCAGCGCTCAACTGCACTTTAAAGAAAATGAAGGACACCGGAGATTTGCCAGACGAGTTATATCAAACTTCGTGTCAGTAGCTCCCAGCCTGCCCGCATCTACGGTCTCGCTAAGGTACATAAGGAAGGCATTCCGTTGCGTCCGGTCTTATCTCTACCAGGAAGTTGTTACGATAATCTGAACAAGTGGTTGGCAGGTCTGTTCTGTCACATCCCTTCCGCGAATATTGAAACATCTACTGCTAAGATGATGGGCATCTTACGTGAGACCCACTTAGAGGACGGCAAGGAAATCTTTTCACTTGACGTGAAAAGTCTGTATACGAACGTTACAGTGCAAGAGGCTATCGATTTGGCCTGTGACACCCTCTTTACAGGTGATAAAACTCCGCCGATTTCTCGGACAACCTGCCACAAGCTCATGGAGCTATCCGTTACCAATGTGTGGTTCATGTCCGGAGAAGACTGGTATATCCAGAGAGACGGTGTAGCGATGGGTGCTGCCATGGCCGTCATACTTGCAAACGTCTGGATGAAAACGTTCGAACCAGCTCTGTCATCAGAAATGCCGGAACTACCGAAAAAACCTGACAACTGTTGTGGCAAGTGCGGCGTAAAAGTCACTTTCCGCGGTTACTCAATCAGATGTAAGGTTTGCTGTAAGTGGTTTCATCGTAAATGTACCCCGTTCACCGTGGAAGAGCTCAAGCGCATGACTAATTCCAGTTGGTGCTGTGGATGCACTGTAGACGAACAACGAAAAGCTCGAGTGTTTAGTCGGTATATGGATGACATACTGCGAAGTGCAAAGCCAGAGAACATCACTGAAATCTTAGAGAGAGTTAATAAACTTCATCAAAACCTAGAGTTCACTATTGATAGTCAGGAAAATGGAAGTCTTCCATTTCTTGACATGCGCGTGAAACAGACCGGCGCTGATGTTGACACGACTTGGTACAAAAAACCAACTGATACAGGATTGACTCTCTTTTAGAGCTCTTGCACCGATGAGATACAAGAAGAACATTGTGCAAGGAACTGTGCATCTTATTTTTAATGCCTCTTCCAACTGGCATGGTTTCACGGAAAGCATAGCTGAGGTTGGATGTATGCTGGAGAAAAACCAATACCCACCTCAGTTTTATGAACCCATCATCCGTGAGACTCGCAACAAGATCCTTGAGAAACACATGAAACAAGACACAAATACCAAGACACCAGAAAAAGCGACCAAGAAACGGATACCCTTTGTTATGCAATATAGGGGCAACAAAAGTGACGTTTTCTCCAAGCGTCTCCGAAAAACGGCCAATATTTCTGTCATCTTCACAACTAGACAGATGAAGACAGCCTTACCATCGCTGAAACCAAAAATACCAGAGAATGTTCGTGACAACGTGGTTTACGAAATCACTTGTTCTAGATGCCAGTCTAGCTACGTCGGGCAAACAACCCGCCACCTAGCCACGAGAGTGCACGAACATTCCAAAGGTACTAGCCCAGTAGGAGAACACCTCAATTGGTGTGGTGTTACCATTGACAGCTGCGAAGTAAAGATCATTGACACAGCAAGAGACTCCGCTAAACTTTTAACATTGGAAGCATTGCATATCAACCAGAGAAAGCCTTCAATCAACCGGAAGGAAGAGTACAAGGCTCGCGAGTTGATCCTGAAGCTGTAACATTGTTACATTGTCCCACAATCCAGTGGCTTGTTCCATTCAAACTTGCTTATCACAGTTCTATCTGTTTTTAATTGCTTTCCAGTTTTCCTTTTTTTTAATGTGCTTTTAATTTGTGCAATTTGCTATTTTTTAGTTACTGATGATGACATAATGTCGAAAACGTTTTACCATTGATGTTCTTTCCCTGAGATCATATTTGATGTGAAGTTCACAGAACTCATCTCCTGGAACCTGGACTCACTCGTATACTTCCTTTGTTATACGTTGAAGTTCAAGCAACCACCCGGCGCATCTGGTGGAGGTAACACATCTCCTTGACACGGCAAAGGCTTTTGATTTGAATCTCACCAGCACCTGTTTTTTTTCAAATTGATAATATTGTTTCAAAATAAATTTCTGTCCAATTGTTTGTCACTTTATCTGTTGTCGGCTTAATTTTAACATTTTGGGTTTTTTTTTGCTGAGCGCATTTTTCTTTAAAGTTGCTTTTAGTGTTTTGTACTTCGTGTTTCCTCGTGTACTTCGTGTTTTGTATTTCGTGTTTTGCTAAAAAATTCCTCTGACCAAGTTATTTCGACCTATTTTTATCGGCTTAATGACCTAATTGTGGGTGCTTTCCAGTGAACACAGCAGTTTTGACACTCCACTTCGCCCTTTTCAAGCTGGTTGTATGTTTACCAATCGGTTTGTTGAAATACCTTTTTTTCGTTATCGAAAATTATTTCCAAGTTATCAGAAAAATTGAGTTTTTCTAAAAATTTTCTACTGATTTTCAAAAACGGGTTTTAATTGAAAAACTGCCTACTCCCCTCTGTGTCTGCTGACTCCTCTAGAGTCTATTTTTAATTAACCCCTCTGTCTACAGCCTTCGGAAAAGTCTGTAGGGGAATATTTGACCCTTATTTTTAATATCTTTTCGTTTTCTCGAAAACTACCTCTCAAATCGGAGTTTTTGGTTTCAATGAATAGAACGGGTTTGAAAATTTTCCTGCTTAAGCGGCTACGCCTAAATTTTTTCTACACATAAAGTTATGGCCCTCGGAATAGTCAATTTTTTTCGACCGTTTTGTGAATCTTAGACTTTTCTCAAAAACTAACCTATCTAATCTTATATTGTGATTTCAAGGGAGGGAACGGATAATATGAAGCTCACCTGAGTTAGCGGCAACTCACAAAGTACTTAACATTTAAAAAAAAAATCGCCCTCGGAAAAAGCAAATTTTTGATTCTTTGACCCTTTTTTCTAAAACTTTTCGTTAATCTCGAGAACTACCCTCCAAAATCTGCGATTTTGGGTTCAATCGAAATCACAGATTGAGTGAATCCTTTATGCATAAATGGCTATGCTCTGTTTCTTCACTCAAAATGCTATGATTCTCGGAAATGTCAATTTTTTTAATGGACAGCTTCTTTGTGCTTTTCTCGCTAATTATCCTGCCAAATCTGATATCATAGGTGTAATCGAAACAACAAGTTGTTGAGGCCTTCTTTTATATCTGGGTATTCCCAGTTTATTTATGAAAAAATTATGGCCTTTAAACAGGTCAATTTTTTGAAACTTTGACATTTGTTTAGAAACTTCTCGACTTTAAGCGAACTTCAAGGGAATCTCCTCTGCCTAAGCGGGCACAATCTGCTTCTTGCAGAAAAAAGTATTGACTTTTGCAAAATCTTTTGACTGTTTTTTAGAATTTTGACAGTTTTTTAGAAATGTTTTTGAATTTGCTTAAAATTTACTCAATCAAATCTCAGATAAAAAGTCAAATTGAAAAAACCGGTTGCAAAAATTGTTCCTGCTCATTTTTTTGAAATCACGCTTTTCGTCCCGCGGCAAATACATTCATTATCAAACACGTACCTCCAGCTTTAGCTGGGCCCGTAGTTGTTTTTAGCGGGACGCGAAAATTTTGGTTCAACTAGTTTTTAAAATTTGAAATTTTTACGGTTAAACTGTTAGTTTTGTTTTATGTTTTTGTTGTATCGCAAGTGGTGCGAAGCGCCGATTCGTCTCTGTGTTTAAAATGTTGCCTACTTTCTAGTTTTTTGACGTTTATCTTTTAGAATTCAGCGGAAAACGCAAAGAACAATTTTTTGAACAATTTATGTTAAGTTTTGCTTTTTAAATTGACATCACTGATACTTAAAGTTTTGCTTCTTAAATTGACATCACCGATACTTACTTTCACACAAAAGTGGCCCCTAAACCCTACTACACTTTCTAAACTCTTTCACTCTGGTTCAATGCTGTCCAGGCTTCTGCCTTCCTCAGGCTAGATCAGCCTTCGAGCACATCAGTCGAGCTCGCTCCTGATGACCAGTGTCGACTCAACACTGGCTGATACCTTCGGCTATGAAACCAGAACCATTCCTTTGTCTGGTGTTACGCAGATACGGTACAGACAAAATTAGACACCACAGCCATAGCTTTGCTATCCTTTCCACGTTTGGCGGCTTGGTGATTCACCGAAGCGGGCGCTGCTACCAGAATCACTTGACGTCTTAGTTACTGAAATCGCCACCCCCTTCTACCCAGAGGCACCCCGGCGGGGCCGCTGTGTGAGTCTTGGAAGAGACGACGTAAACAACAACCTTCCACTGGAAGTGCTGAAAATCAACCCAACCAAGAAATCAACCATCTCACAAGAAGTAATGAACTAACGAACAAACCATTCAAAACGAAAACGGTGACCATTTATAACGAAATATGATCATAATGACAAAACTTTATGCGCTGGCCTCGACGAGGCAACAACAACAACGTACACACAAAGGATGACCTTAGAACTGACATATAAGACATACATTTTTTGAACTGAGTTTTCCTGGCAATGTTTAGGTGAGTATCATGCAGACAGCATTTTAAAGCATTTAATAGTCACTTTTCAGAGAAAATGATATGAAGGACCCAACTACAGTGCACCTAGTGACATGTTCTGAGACGTCAGTGAAGCTATGGGCTCCCCCCAACTACGAACTATCTCGCGAGTTAGTTCCCCCGCATGCCGCCTCAAACATATCCAACATATGCTATGACCACGTGAACAACAGGATCATCAGTTGCAATGTGGCCGCGCAAGGAACAGTTGCCACTAATTTGAACGACGATGAGAGCGAATTGTTGACGCCGGAGATCAATGCATTCAAGATTGACCTCAGTTTCAACTGCAAGTACCTCCTAGGAGGCACATTACAGGGAAAAGTCACGCTTCTAGGTACGTTATTAGGATAAGTTGTTTTACTGCCGAGTTTGCAGTTACACTCAGCGTAATAATGGCAAAGGCGAGTAAAATTACACGGAAGTTTTTTGATAAAGGCGAACATTCTTGTAATTTTAATGAAGTGACCAATTTAACTCCAAGCTGCTTTTTGCCTAAAAAGCGTTGTTTGCGGCCTGGGATCTTAGTGTGAGTTTTTGTAGGAAATTAATATTGTAGTCATGTTTTTTATATATCACTATTTGGAGCAAAATTAGCTTAAAAGGATAAAATATATACCTTCTTCTCAAAATGTATGCAAAATTTTGAAATGATTAAAAGTAGTGGAAAGGAAGTTTTTGTGGTTGTGTGCTGTTGTAGATGTGAAGAGTAAGAAGGTGAAGCAGACGTACAGTGAGCATTCTTGGCCTGTGTCGATAGTGAAGATCAGCAGCAGAAGTCACAGCATAGCAGCCAGTGGAGACACGAGTGGAGAAGTCATCTCTTATAACATCGCAAGGTGAGTGAGACCTGTCAGTTTCAACACAAGAGCAACATTTTTTTTAGTCAGCTAACCCGGAGGCCTAACCCGAAGGTTAATTATTTAGATTGACAAGAGCGCATATAACCAGCACCCATTAAGCTATGACTTTCTTGCAAGAGCCTACCTTGCAAATTGCAGCGCACGTGCGATTTGATTCAGTAATCATATGATTGATGGGCGCCATCACTACCGGAGTGCCACAATGGCACAGAAAGCACACAATTTTATGTACAGAATGCCACAATTTATGTACAGAAAGCACAATTTTAAGTGCCTGACTGTCTATCGATTGTGATATCATGCAGGAGTGTTTCAGTCCTTATTTAGTTTCCAAGAAATCCATTTTTTTTCGCTTGCGGTCGTTTTCGTTTGAGGAGCGGGAGAGGAGAGCAGTGGGAGTTGTTAGATTGTGGACGCCGCTAATTGACATTGCTAAGACTGGAATTCTATTTTAGCGTCAGACAAGTTAGGGTTTTAAAGTTGTAAGTGACTCGTTTGGCAAGTTATACCACCCGCAGCAAAAAAAAATCGAAGCAGACAGTTATATGATGATGCTTTTTTTTTTAAAAAAATGTAAGTTCTGAGGAATCACCCTCTAGGCTGTGTCTACCCACTGATAATATCATTTTGGTACTGAGTTCGGCGGGATGTCCGAAGCTCAATACTACTCACAGTCCCGAAGGGATTAGTTTGGTGGGAAATTACTCTTTATTGTATTATGTTGATTGCCCCCTTTCGTGATGTTCTATCGACTGTATCCTTTTTTCTTGATTCGCAACAATTTCGATAAAGGTAATTGAATTCAATTAAACGTCTAAATACAGAAAACCTATAATTTGCCAGAGAATAAAGTTTATCAATTTACTTGAAAGAAAGGGTCCGCGATCGCTTATGGCGATTGCCTTTAGTAATTCAATACTCAATCGTTTCTTATATTAATCTTAGCTCTGAATCTCACTCGATTTATCTAACTAACTGAGATTTAACTCGCTAAAAGTTGTGTTCTTACTCTGCGAATCAACTAGTCGACTCAAAAGGATAAATTGTTCTGACTTTTGGATGCTCTCCGGTACCCTCCAATTCCTTATCTTTATTTACACTTGTTTTAGTTAAGTCACGCCGTTCCCTATCAGTCCTGGTATCCGCTTAATTCACTCCTCTGCACATGTTTTTATCCCTACACCTGCAACTCCATCCCTAACCCTGTGAACACTTCCAAGGGATCGAGTTCGGTTTCTTTTAACAATTTTGTGACACCTATTAGATAACCGGTATGCGGTAGATGTCTTAATTCAACCCAAGCAAACAAATGTCATACGATCCTAATTAACAAACTACTTCACAAACTACTTCCACAATCAATAATAAACAAACTACTTCCACAATCAACAAGTTGAACTCCATGAATTCTGATCCCCCCGAGTTCTCATGCTATCTTTTCAGTGAGCCTCACAATGTTTTCATTTTAAATATCAGTTAAAGTTCCGACCTCGCCTTCGTAGGGAAGACTCTTTTCATGGGTAGCTAAGTCATCTCAAACATCTAATAGTTCCGCCTAAACCCTATTCCAATCTTTAGCTAACAAGGGAATGTAATTTGTCTATTAGGGGTCAATTTAAGCCAATAAAGTCGCCTCGGGGAAGTCAAGTAAAATTCCCGCCAATCATATTTTTTGAGACTTAATTGCCATGCCGCGCTCCTAATACTGCCAATTTCCTCTTGGAATATTTCTCCTCAGTCTAGTAGAATTCCTTTTATTAGCTCATTCGCTAAGCTAGACCCAATGTTTATCAAGTTCACTTTAATTAATGCCACTACTCTAACACTAAGAAGAAAAAGATATTCTTTCCTCACCATTTTAAGAATATATATATATACCATATATTTTTCGGAGGGGTTTAACTCACCAGGTGTTTTTTTTCGTGGTTCGTATCTACTGTCTATTGCTGCCATAAAATCAAAATGCCATCGCCCATTTTTTTTTCGTGAAATGCTTTTTTCTGATCTAAGAGGTGTTTTTTTAAAGTGCTAATAAATTCGGTTCAACTGTCGTTTTTGGTTGAAATTCTAATACAAGATGTATTATGTCACTACCTATCTTTCCCAAAGTAATGACCCCCAGCGTTCACCGAGGGGGCCCAGAAACGATTTTTGGAAGTCGGAGTGAAAACTATTTATTTGGGGCATAACACCTGAAGTAGAGGGGTACAGGGGGTCTGGGATTCTTAACCTAAATTTTGGTCCCATTCCAACCGCTAGTTACACTGAAATCTAATAGGTCTTTTTGCATTTCCGGGAACCGTTATCACCTGGGCCAGGGGGAACGAGGGGTCCGGACTTATGCAGGTTCAAATCATCTTTACTATACGCACTGAGTTTCAAAAAGTTAGCTTCCTTTGTTTCCTAAAAGCAACTATCGGTACCGTCGTATAAATTTTTACCAGAGGTGGGAGTAATTCTTTCAAGATTTGAACAATTTCGAGATTGGTCATTTGTTTGCCTTTCTACTTATCGTATTGATTAATGAATAATGAGCTACATACCACTAACAAGCTTTACTATTCTGCATGCAATTCCCAAGGTTATGCTCTTTCAGCTTTTTAGTTTGCCGAAAAGATCTTAGGATCACCGACGCTACAATTCATGCCAAACCGTTCGCCTTGTTTAATCCGCATGTTTTGAGCAAATTTCACTGCCGAACATAAAATTGCTACATTTTTGTCTTCACCAGAAATTTGCACCAGACAGGCGGAAAAGTGGATTCGCGTCATTACGTTCTTTTGTTCAAGGGTTTTAATTAGTGGTGTAAAAATCCTGATCTTCCAAAGCTTTCTTCGTCCTCTCCCCTAGCGACTGTGAACGTGACACACACAAAAAAAAGATTCTTTAAGTTAAAAAACGAGTGAAAGTGCTTTAATGAGATATCACTATCAATTCCTTGTGAGAGATCTATAAATCCATAGAAAGAGTCCATTCTAAATTTGCTATCAAAAAATATCGTTGTTGGTAGGTTTTAAGTTCCCCCTACTAAAAGACTGAAAGAAAAATTTTAAAGCGGTATTTTTGGTAGGAAAATATTGGTCTAATTTCTAATAGCATTCAACCTGCGATTATGTGCCTGAATGTTTAGTGGCAAATCCAACAAGCTCAACTCCTCTCGTTTGGGGGACAAACAACAGCCAGTATCTGCCCTCAATTTTTCCCCCTTTCGCAATGGCGTGCTCTGCAGTGGCGACGATTCCGGAATTGTAAGAAACTTTTAAACTTCAACAGCCAATTTTTTCCAGTGATTTTTAATGTTACTTTTTTTAAAGTAGACAGACTAGTGTTGTATTAAATGTGCATTACCTTATTTTGGTCATTATTTAACTGTCTGATTTCAGTAGATCCTAGAATTTATTTCATGTTGTCTGTGATACACTTGCTAACCTTTTCTGTTGTTTAGCTGGATCTCTGAAACTAGTTCACCCCTATTGTAAAAGGGGGAGGGGGGGGGGGGAGGACTTCGCATGCTCTTAATCCTTGCTAATAATAGCATGATTTATAATAGTTTATAATAGGATGGTTTTTCTGCTGGGGATAAATTTTCTGAATATCTAGCGGAACAATAAAATTACCTATTGAGCCAGTTATCTTTTATTGGGATAGTTTTACGTACAAAAAATTGATTTTCTTTTTCTCGACTTTTTGCAATTGCTGTTGTCCAGGTTTCAGTTTTGAGACAACTTAAACGTTTTTCAATTGCAATTAGCTTATCTATTTCTGAGCGTTTGGATAAATGGTTTTGGCATTGGGTCTACAAAATTTTTCCGTTCAACGGGATGTAATGTTTTCAATGTCTTGGTTTTTTTAAGTTTTCTCAAATTGGGTTAATGTTATCAAAAAAGTGCCAATCATAGGTTGTTCGTGAAATTCAAAGAGCTTATATATATTTTTTAAAATTCGCAAGTTCAAGCTTAAAAAAACAGCCAGTTTTCTTTCTGTTTCCTTGCCTTCATTACTCCTTTCCAATTGTCAGTTGGCTCTAACTTCTTTTCAAGCACGCTTCATTTCCTAGGCAAACTCCTCTATCGAATAGCAGAAGTGTAAAGGGTACGAAAAATGTGAATGCCTTGTCCTTTCAAAAATGGACTTCAATTTTCTTGAGTTGTTGAAAAACTGTGATATGCGATCTTTTGTGATTTTTTTTTGTTTTGTTTGTCCATTATTCTCTTAGTTCAAAAAAAAACCATGAATGGAACTTTGAATGGAATTTTACACCAATTTAATCGAATCTTTCGAAATCATGATTTTATCTCATTGAAAATTTTTTGAAAAACCAGTTTCAATTAAATGATTCGCCTGTTTACAGAGCAAGTGTATTTTTAATTGAGAATTAGATTTTTCACGCAAGTAACTTTTCTTACAAAAAAGAAAGAAACAGACCTTGCTTTTTTCAAGTTGATTTTTTTTTTCAGAAACAAGTTTTTTTTGCATTCATTGGCTCTTTTCTAACTGTATGTTGGCTGTTTGTTTGAAGTTAGGATAGTCTGAAGTTTGCAAACTGGTGAAAAAAGGGTGCAACAAATTTTCAGTTTTCTGATAACTTGTAGCAAAAACGGCAATTTTTTCCAGCTCCGGAATGTGATTTCAAATTGATTCAAGGCATGTTAATTGATCCAAATTATGTATTGGTAGATGCAAAATTTATCACTTTATAGTTAGCAAGTTTTTTTAAAGTATACGAAGTTTGAAACCAACATTTACTAGAGCTCCGTCCTGATACGAGTAGTTTTTATTATTGTGTTTGAAACGAATTTCCTTCAAGGCAGATTTCAATTTTGTTCTTTTTCTCTGCTATTAGAGCTACTGTTTGCCGTTTTTAGTTTGTTTTCGCGAAATGCAACTTCTTTGTATGAAAAGTTAGCAATTGTCATGTTTTCAGGTCACGTTTTGGGACACGTCGATGTGCTGTGAGACCACATCGTTCGGCTCCCTCCACGATTCCACAGTCACCTCTCTATCCTTCTCGCCCGTGAACGAAATGCTCCTTCTGACGTCATCACTCAACCGCAGACTAGTCTACCTAGGTAATATTATAAATGAGCTGTAAATCGTATAGTGATTCCAAACTTGCGACTTCTGATGTTCATGAGTAAAGACAATTGAATACAACTGTGAAAATATAACTTGCTGGAATACAACTGTGAAAATGAATGCGCATCATCTAGTATAATTATACTCGTTTGTAAAAGAATCGTTTTGCAATGGAAAGTTTTAGGGAACAGCTTAATAGAAAAGTGTTTCAACCTAGATACCACTGCTCATACAACTGTGAAAACAGTTCACACGGAGAAATTGATTACGAGCAGTTGTTTGCTATCCGATGGAACTACTAGTGCAGTGGCGACGGAAGATGGACTGGTGTTGCTGTATGATTTGAGGAAGCTGGACACCCCCACATTCTTCTTCACTTCTCACTTCAAGTCGCCCATATCACATCTATCCCAGGTTGTCCATTGCTTGAATCGAGTTTATAAAAAATCAGATATTTAGTTATAACCGATAGATGCTTTTGCGAAACAGTCTGTTATTCCTTATATAGATTGGTGATATTCTCGTTTAAATTGGTTCAGAAACTTCTTAGTTGCCTTGTTTTAAGAGCTTTAGGCGAAGGGCTGACAAATATGTTCAACTATCAGAAAGATGCTCTCTAACTGCTAATGATGATTGTATGAATGCTTTCAGTGGATTCTTATTCGGTAAGTGTAAGAATACTTAGCTTCCTTCTCTTAGGTTTTGGGCTTTTTTGTGTTCCTCCAGACGAATGTCCGGGTTTTATTAGACATTTAGCTGTTTGTTCTTTTGGCTGAGGCAGGTCCTGATTTTCTGTCAATCATGTGTCTAACCTTTTGGAATCACTTTGATTGAATTTTGAAACGAAACGCAATGATTCATTTAACATACGAGAAATCCCTCAAGCGCAAAAAACCGAGTCAAAAATTATGTTATCTATAGCTAATCAGAATTTAGTATTCAAATATTCGACAAAAACAAGCATGGAAATCAGGTAAGGAAAACGGAAATTTTGAAGGGTGTCCTTTGGTGGAGATTTTCTGGATTTCTGGCATGAGAATAGTCCTCACATAGTTTCGTAAAATATAATAGTTATTCTGATTCATGGAAGAGAGTAATGTTCAAGATTAACTTGAAAGTTTGATTGTTTCAGTTGACAGCTCCCCCTTCGTACTCTTCAAAGCGAAGTCTAACAGGCTCCGTCACTTCTCTCAACGAGGCCAACGGTGGGGGCAAAACCAGCAGTGGCTTCTCCTCTTCTGGCTTCACATCTACCAGCGAGAACGAATCAGATGCAGCCGCAAACACCACAGGTGTATTGTCACGTATCGTTTAATGAAGTGACGAAACTTTTTCACGCTCAAATTCTTTTCATTCAAAATTTATTTCGAAATGGAAGAAAATTGCGCTCTATATTAATATGTTCGCAAATGGCGCCAAAAACGTGAATGACTTTTTGTTTCAAGTGCATTTAAATTTTAAGATTTCTCAGCTGAATAAATTACTTGCCTATTAATCCAGGTTTCTCATAATGGGGTATTAAGAGTCGATTAACGTAGTTCAGACTCTTATGTAGGTCGCGATGATTTTTTTTCTTTCAGGAAAAGTCTTCAGGCTCAAGTTTTATTTTTTCGCGGTTTGACTTCTGATTTTTTTAAGCTCAATTCATTTATGTTAAAAGGAAGGCAAACTCCACTATCGATCACCAAAAGTGTAAAGATCGCAAAAAACGTGATCGAATTTTGGTTTCGAAAGTAGATTTTAATTTTCAGGTTTCCCAGCGGAATAAAAAAAATTAACGATTGATCCAGTTTTCTCAAATTGGGTAAATTTTATCCAAAAAAAGCCAGTCATAACTTGTTCTATAATTTCAAAGAGCTTCAAGGGCATCTGTTTTTTTTTGCTGTGAATTTCGAAAATTGAGATTGTTTTCTAAAAACGAGTCACTCTTTTTTTCTGTTCACTTGCGTTCGTTGACTCTTTTCCGATTGTCTGTTGGCTAATCTTTTGCTTAAAGCGTAAAAGTTCTTGGGGGTGATTCTTGGGGACTTAAATCTTCCTAAAATTTTTCTAAGCGCATACTTTTATAGCGATGTTTTTTGTCTCAATGTATCCAAGTGCTGTCGGCATAAATTGTTTTGAAGCTGATTTAACGCTGGGTTTCTCAACATTTCCCCCGTAAACACGAACTTAATTTGAGACAAACGTGCATTTTGTTAGATTTAGAGGTTTTAATTGTAAAACTGTTTTTCCGACTCTTTTATTGTAAGATAACTCGAAATGTTCGGTTTGTAATGTATTGCTGGTGTTGCGAAGCTAGGCTTCGCTTCTGTGCTACAAATCATTAGAATTATTTGCGTTCTGTCGGCTATGTTACAGTATTTTTTCGGCATAAGTATGAAAATCTAGTTTTATTGAACCGTTTTTCCGTTGAAAGTAATTGAAATTTCGAACATTTTGAGTTAAAAATAATCGGTTAGATTTAAATTCAAGCTCAAATGTATCGCCATATGTCCTTTATGCTCATTCCACGAAAGTTTTTTTACTCATGTCCACATTTTCGAATCATTTATGCTCTCAATCTCAAACCCATGGTTTTTATAGCCGCAGAACAGCATTCACAATCTTCGAATCGCTCAACAGGCTCCGCCCCTCTAAGGGCATCACACGCATTACAACACAGTGGCTCTCCAACAGCCATGGCAGCTGCTGCTATTATGACATCAAAAACTCCGCCTATCAAGAGACCTCTGAGTACGAGTAATGTGGGGCCGAATGTGGGACTGCCCTCGTATTACGCAGGAGGCAGTGTGTTCTCGCCACTTGAAAGTGGATATGCGAGCTCAATGAACGATTTGTATTCGTAAGTTGAAGACTCGTCGAATTAATTCGATTTTATGCTGATAGGACTTGAGCTATTTTTTGTACAAATAACCTGGTATATCTTGATTTTGAAATTAGTGATAACTCGAACAAGGACATTTGCCTTATTAATTAATGTGAAAAAGTCAGTTTTTCACGATAATATTTATTCCTATGCGCGAAAACAATTTTCATGTTTTTGTTTGTTTTCGAAGTTCCAGGAATCAGAAGGAATGCCTTGAATGAATCCAATAGGAGTAAAAAAAAAACTGTTTCTTTTTTCAGGAAATCCAAGCTAGCAAATGGATCATCACCTGTGCAGTCTCCCCTTGCCTCTGAGTTGCAGAATCGGATCCCGAGAACATCCTCGAACGACGACTCCCTTACATCAGTCAGTGAATGTAACTCAGTCCGAAAATCATCAGCGACACCTACAGCTAATGTCCTGAACAAAAAACCACCGCAGCATAATCTAAACTTTCAGTCAAATTCGTCTATCGCCCAAACGCAAACAGAATCTGCACCTATGTCTAATGGATTTCATGCGTCTTCATCATCATCAGCAGCTTGTGTATGTGGCAGTAATCCAGCATCGTCGTCTTTAGGCGCACCTGATAACGTTGACCTTTTGAGGAAAACAATACTAGAATCAACAGAATCGGTCAAGGTAATTCTGCAGAAAGAGTTCAGTAACGCACAGATCAACAGTTACAATGATTTCTTCACGCTCAAGAAGATGATTGAAAAGTTGACGGAAGAAAACGAATCGATGAAAGCGGAACTTGCAGGGCTCAAAGAGACTGTCAATAAGATGCAATACAGGGCTAATTTTTTTGGATAGCCTTAACGCAGGGTAGATTTCTACCCCGGGCTGTCCTCTTGGAAATCGAGGCAGATTTTTTCTTTTGATTTTTGGGACCGAGTTGACCATCTCGGATTGTAAATAGACTGACCTACTCTGACTAGAAGCTTGTTTAGGCGCTTACAATAGAATTCAGGATTAATTTTTGTACTGAACAGTCTTTCAAATTATGGATTATCATTACTTTATGGGTAAAATTACATCATGTTATAGATCAAATAGATTGAAATATTCGCGGAATCTTAATTAGAAAATGTCATTGCTTGCCAGTTTCTGCTGTTGCAGTTATAAAATGGTGTTATTTCTTCGAGTTGGCGTGCTGATTTTAACGACAGCAGGATACAAATTGAAGATAGCCATTAGCTTAAACTACTTAACTCCACAGATTAGATCTTCCAGGGGCTTGTTCATTGATTGATTAAGCAACAGAATTTAGTTTTACTTGAATTGTTTGAGGAATATTTTTGTATAGCAGTTAATACGTCCATTAATAAAATATTAGTGTCTCACAACTTCCTGAAGCCTTAACAATCAATTTGAGTCATTTTTGAAGAAAGTGGTTGGTGCTTTTTAGAGTATTGAAATTAAAAAATGCCAAAAAGGAATGAGCTATTCAGTTTTTTTCTACAATTTCTCATGATTAGCAAAGACATTAACCAAGTACAAGACAGCTTTTTTGCGTTAAAAATTTGTGAACAGGAAATTTTCTGTGGTAACATTTGATTTTAAATAAGTCTTGGGTCTGCTTTTTTTGAAGTTACCGTATTTTTTGGTAAAATATTTTCGAGCCGTTCTTACTGTTGCTAACGCTTTTGTTATGAGGCAAAAACAGTATTGTTCAACTTAACTCGCAATATTTTAGCTGCTTTTTTGAGAACAGCTGTAGTTTACCAGATGTGTATCAGACAGCTTGGACGGTTGGCATTGGTAAGAAAAAACAGCTAGGGTAGTTGGCCTTGGCTAGTTGGCATTTTTTTTTTTGGTTTTCTTAGGATCACTGACAGTTTTCCAACTGTCCGTTGATTGTTTATCTCCGTTGAAAGTTGAAAACATTTCAAAAAACATTTATTAAATGGACATTTCAGTGACACTTTTCCAACTCTGTCGGTTATGCTCAGGTCTTTTTATAGGTCTTTTTTTTTAGTTTTCAGGAAGATTTTTGAAATGCAAAAAAATTATCGTAATATACTTTGTAATATACAAACATGCATCTGACGTGTTTTGCCTAATAAGGCTCCAGCTTCCTTTGTAGATGGTAGATGCTGGATTTTATTGAATGACTTTTTTGATGTATTAATTTTTTAGTTTTTTGGCTGATTAAGTGCCGGCTTAAATTATGTCGGCTTATTTACCTTAAGTTTTTTCCAGTAGTTTTTTGATATTAATTCATTTTTGACATGGTGTGTTTGAATTTTTAAAATCACTTCTTCGGCCTTCTTTGGAAAACCTTATTTTTATGATTATTATGATGACTATGATTATTATTATTAATATAGATTTAGTCATTAATGGCAAGGGTTGGTGACCTTGAGTTTCATGTTTCTTTTCTATTTCAGTTTCCAGGTGTCGGTGTCCATGTACTGATAGTTTACTCTGCAGTGTTGCCATAGATATTTCAGCAGGCGGGATTTGAGAGCGTTTGTGTTGTAGAAATCAACATTAGTCGGAAGGTTGTTGACAACTTAGGAGGTTCGATGCCAGAAATATTGTTCTGCAATTGATTTCTTTGTTTTGAGCGTGACAATGATAGGCCTTTGACAGTATCTACTTTGTTTTAATTACATAGACATTTGGACTGAAAAGAAGGTCTAATAGTTGAGTGTATAGAGATAAAAGGAGAACATTTAGTTGTTAGCAATTCGTTATATAGTCTGATTTATTTGTAATCCATTTAAAAACTCGTTCTTATACTTTTTCTAGTTCTCGTGTTGATTCATTGTTCGCAAACCAACAATTAAAGCCGTAGAGTAAAACGAGTATAATCATGGATTTACATAAATTTGTTTTCGTCTTTATTTTCAAGTTTAGTGAATTTCTTCTCCACATAAAAAACACTATCAAAGCTTTCGAGCAGTTCGAGTTGGTATGGAAAGACCATTTAGATCTGTTGACGAGTAGATGCTTAAATCTTTCTGTTTGTTTTTTTTTTAGTTTTTCTTCAGTGTTAAGAAGAGAATATTTGTTTGCGATGTAAAGCTCATATGTGGACATTTGCTGACATATAAAGTTAGGTTGTGTGCCGTACTCCGTAAAAATTCTATTCAAATATGATTGAAAAAAATTGGTGTTAATATCTGTTAATACATTTGGCATCATCTGCTCAAAGGAGTGGAGCCGTGATCCTACATTGCGTTGTTAAATCGTTTATAGGAAAAGTAAACTATAGGAAAAAATTGAGCCTTGTGTGACTCCACTGGCGATGTTTCGCTCGGTGGATAGTTTATTCCCAATTCGGAATCGGTATTTTCGATTTGATAAAAAAATCTAAGTAATTTCAAGAGTTTTCCACGAACTCCACAATCCGACAATTTGCGTAGGAGTATCTAAATATCGACCGTTTTTTCGTAATCCGTCAAACAGTTACTAGATGTTTTCCATTGTTGATTGCGTCATAAACTTTTTAAAGATAGTTAACCGTTTGAAGTATGCATGATTTTCTTTTTACAAATCCATATTGATTTTCCGTGGTTTTAGGTTCAAAAAAAGAATAAAGGTTTTGACTGATACATTGCTCAAAGTTTTGGAAATTATCGGAAGTAATGATACTGGTCTATAATTCTCAGCCACCGGTTTGTCACCCTTTTTGTAGCTAGGACTGATTGGTGCTTTTTTCCCATAATTCTGGATAAGAGCTTGTTTGCTTAACGTCATAGAAAAGTTGACGGAGATATTTTTTGATAGACTTTGAACAGTTTTTAAAAATTGAAATTGGGATTTTGCCCGGTCCCATAGCTGTTTTGGATCGTAACTTTAATATATAGTGTTTATTGTCTTTTCTGAATTGTCGAAGTCATCGAGCGATCGTGTTGTCCATAGTACAGGTTGAATGATAATTGGCTCTGATGAAATTTTTGTGAAATTAATTTTCAGGAAGTTCGCAAATAAATTGGCTTGGTCCTTGGAATTCTGAGCTTGAGCGGTTTTACATGGGGCACAAATAGAAATTTTACTAGATTTAAACGACCGATAAAACTTGAATAAATCGTCTCTTGATCTAGTTGGTGCAAGTTTTGCTTAGAAATCACTTCTATTGTTCTCGGGTGTGTCGTCAAATCCTTTTTGCAGGGTTATTACTTTTGTGTGAAATGAGGGGTATTTTCGTTTGAGGGTTGTTAAGTTTTTTTTAGGTGAGATGTGGATATACTAACCTAGGGTGCTTAATTTGCCGTGTTGCGTTCTCATTGGAATTGCAATGTTTTTACGCCAAACCCAATCATACTTTTCGTTTATTAGTTTTTTATCATACCAGCAAAAGTTTTTCTTCGATAAATGAGTTGAGCTTCTGAATGTCAGCCTTACAGTTTTCTTGTAATCTAGCTTGATAATTAGAGGTAAATGATTCGACTTAATGTTGATTCGGGTAGATTTAGTTTTTATGGCGGTAACATTTACTTCTCCTTTTGATAAAAATAGGTCAAGGATTCCTGTAGCCGTTAGAAAGTTTATATTTTGTTCCAATCCCATTGAGTAGCTAAGGTCAACAAAGGTAGTTTCTAAATCATTTTTCGAGCTTAAAGTCTTCCAGTTAATTGACAGAAAATTGATATTTCCATAGATGATTAGTGCGTCAACTTTACGCGCGTGTATTTCAATTTTGTTAAATATTTCACATAAAACTGACTTTCCAGATAATTCTACTAAGCAACCGATAACTGTTCGTCCGTTATTTTGGGAAACATAACTTCTTGAGCGTTGAGCAGGTGTACTACAACGATCAATACCCCGCCCAACTTTGTTTTTCCGGGTGCGCTAGCACGATCCGATCTGAACAATTAGTAGTTTGGAAGAAATATTCTTAGTTTTTTGGTCTGTTAAACATGTTTCACAGATCAAAATAATTTCAAAATTATTACATGTTATAAAGTGCGAAAAGTTGATTCTACGGTTTATTTTGTATAAGCTGCAGGCGTTGAAACAATACGTTGTAAAGCGTCGGTTTTTTCGTGTCATCATTTAGTCATTCACAATTACATTCTTGATTGTTCACGAAAAGTTTCAAACCCTTCAAGCCGATATGTCTTGGGTCAGTTCCCGAATGGATTAATTCTTTGCGTTTAAGAAGTATTTTTCTTTCGCTTTATTGCTCCGCTTTCGAAAGGCTTTTCGAAATGAAAATGGTTGTACCACTTCTGTATCTTTTAAGCTGGGGTGGTTTCGCTAAAATTTTACGAGATTTCCATGCATTGTTCATTGTTACCATTATAATTCTGGGGCGGAGGTTTTCGCTATCAAACTTGCCAAGTCGACAAATTTTTAAAATTGGTGAGGGATCTTCACCCAAATTGTTAATAACTTCTTCCACTTGTTGGGATTCAAAGTTTTTATCTTCTTGCGTTACTGGGTTATTACTTCCTTCTTCTTTTTAAAATTCAGTCTTTCCACTAATGAGGAATTCATATTGCAGGTTAAAGTTTTGATTAAGTTCATTTTTATTCAGTTCATTTTTATTCTGATTTTTATTACACACATCGGATTAGAAAGCAGTATTTTCAGCTTTCATATCTTGAATTTTCTTTTGCATTTCCTTAATTGATCCCATGACGCTGTCGATCTGATCTGTTATTTTGTTTTGCTCTGACAAGATAGACTTCACAGGGTTCACACAACTGTCACAAAACCAGCGGATCCCCTTCACTGTTCCAAGATATTTCATGAGTTCTGCAGAAATATCAGTGCGTTTCTGGAGAATCCAGTGCCCACATTTGTCACATTGAATAGACTCATCTTTCTCTTTTATGTTGTTGTGGGCAGCTTCCACAAGGAGTTTGAGTGGTACTAGCAAGACGAGTACCACGATGAGCCATGCGTCATTCAGTTATATAAAGCAAGTCTATTTAATATGTTAGAAAACATCATGAAAACTTTTCATTAAAACTTTGTCTGGATATTTTTCTCGATATTTCTTGATCAGCCTGCTGTCCTTATCTTGTTTTATTCGGCGAAGGTATATTTTATTCGGCGAAGGTAATTAAGTCATGAGAACAATCGCATTTTTTGTGGTGTACTTTCAATCAATTTTTTCGTCTATTGATTTTGTTGTAGTTGAATTGTTTTCTAGCCTCTACATTTTGTGGAATGATAAATTCTCTAAGTGGTATCAGATCACAAAATACCTTTAAATTGTGCTAATTTGTTTTTTTTTTGCTCGCAATTTTCAGACTTTTTCAATTTCAAAATATCAAATTTGGTGTGTTTGCGCCATTTGTTTCTAGTACACTAAGTTTTGAATTGAGATTTTGAATTGAGATTTTAAATGAAAATTTCAACTATAGTGACGAATGGTTGTCATTGCTCTTGAAAAATTTTAGTTTTGTAAAATGTGGCAATTTTA